GTAGTTCTGAGAGAGTTGGAGACCCGTAATTCTTGGGAGAGGTTCTTTTACCTATTCTCTCATGACCCCACTGTCAGGTGTTCATGGGGCCATCGGAATGACGACTGGATCCATGTCCCCGTATAAAGTCCTATTCTTGTGCCGTATACTTTTTCGTTAATTTGCTTTGTTCTGTATATGTTAATGTATTCGTCAGAATAAAAGGTTTGCCTTCTCGAATCTCTTTTCCCATTCGCTCAAGACGTGTCCCACGTCCTTCCACATGAGCATGAGCAAGCTGATACCTCGAGCACCCTCTCCCTGGCGACGTGCAGAATCGCATCGCAAGTCTCTGTGAAGCCGAGAGTGGGAAATTTCATTTTTTGGACTTTTCTTCCTTAAGAGCCCCATGTTAAATTTGAAAGCCCAGGGGCCCTTTTCCTCCTGGTCCGAAAAATCAAAAAAATTTTGTTCATCATTTTGGGAGTAGAACACTTCAAGAACGAGCCTGCTCAAAATCCGAACACTTTTGGCAAAGTGAACGTCTCCAGGGCATGGGCCCCAGGCAGGAGGGGCCGGATGGTCGCTAGGAGGCATTAGAGGAAAAGCAGGGATAAAGGTGTGCGAATCACCCTTTTTCAGCGTCGTATCGAATCGAATATAAAATTTTACCCCGAATCGAATCTATTCTCGAATCTAATCATTTAATAACATTCTCGGACTTCATACGTTTAGATTCACCTCGATGCTTGCTCCCCCCCCCCCCCAATAACGATGACGTGTTTCTTCCCGTCACTCGTCGTGTTCATGACCAGCTACTTCGCGCCAACCTACGAGTGGGCGGCGGAGCTCACCTACTCCGACCCAGAGGGCAACACGACCCCCCTGCTCGACTGGCTCCTGCAGGTAAAGTAAAGAGATGACAAGAAAACGGACGCGTTTGGGACGCCGCGGTAGTGTTGCCCCGGCAGGAATTACTCAAGAGGATAACTTTACCACGACCCTCAGCCACCACACCTATTTCCAATTAAGGCTGTTGCTGACACGAGGACAAGAAAAGAAACCCCACCTAGAAGAGTCACGGCGCGAGTGGCGCTCGCTGGCAGGCGCCGGGCGGGCCGTGCCGCTCCACAGCGCTGCTGTGCGGGTGGGCCTACCAGCCCGGCGCCGCCCGCTTAGTGAGCTGAGCTCCGAGGGGCTGCACCCACCACGCACACAGGAACGTTCCGCATTCAGAGCACGACACCCATCTTCGTCACGCCTCGGTGAGTCGTTCAAATAAAACAGTCGTTGGAAATAATGACAATAATAATACCGATAGGTGTAACTTATTTTAATTTTGATAATGACTTACTAAATGTGTATAAAGAAAATGTATTTATCGTATGACGCAGTACATGAATGAAAGACTTGAATTCGCGGCGGCGCTCCCAGTACCTGGCTGTAGGAGTGCAGTGTGGTCCGCCAGCACGAGGCTCGGCCCGTTCGGCAGCCAGTGTTGCTAACCGATACGAAAAGTCGCCACGAAACACACCCGTAGAGTGGGTTGCACCCGCCCGCCATTCGTAAACGTCAGCGCCCTTGCAGTGCCTTGTCCCGCCATGCATGCGGGTCGCGAGCGTCTGCGCTGTGATCCCGAACACGTCTGTTGGTCCTGCTGCTCGGGGTCCTCTCGCTGCCACAGGGTGGCCCCGCTGCTCGCCGCCCCTAGGCCTATTCCGGCTCCACATTGCCACAGTCGCCGCACAGCACCTCGGCCCTGGGCAGCACCCGCCGCACCTCGGCGCGCTGCTGCCTGCAGGCGGCTGGCTCGTGGCTGTGCCCTCCCCTCAACAGCACGAGCCTCCTGAGCGCCCGCATCCCGCTGTGCTGCAGCAGCGAGTGCAGGTCGCCGCAGCTCAATGGCCACGCTTTAATCCCCGGCGTGCCCACCCACAGCACAAGCTCCTCCAGCGTGCCGCCGTGCGCCCGCAGCAGGGACTGTGTCGTGGCGCGGGGGACGTTGTACACCCTGAGCCACTGCAGACCGGCGTGTCCTGGCGGGAGCGCGGGCAGCTCGGGGGGCTGGGCGCGCAGGGCAGCATCACCCACCACGTGAAGCCTCCTCAGCCCCGGGATGGTGTGCACCGCGCGCAGGTGGACCTCGCGGGGGCAGCGCACATCCAGTTGCTCCACCGTAGGCGCGACGCGCTGCAGCAGCTGGAGGCTCCAGGCGGGGTCCTCGTGGCAGTACACATTGACCAGCCAGGTCACCTGCGGCAGAACAGAGTCACTCTCAGAACGGCCCATAACGTGCGGAACTGTCTGCAGTGTACCGGGCCGCTCCCCGCAGCCTCGTGCGGGCCGAGGAGGCTGGAGGTCCGGCGCACACTCACCCCTGGCGCGTCCAGCAACAAGGCGGCCTTCTGCTGCTGGTTGTCGCCTGGTCCACTGCGGCTCATTCTCCCTACATCCATCTCCCGCGCGGGCATCGCCTCGGCAGGTGGTGGGTCCCGGGCGGCAAGGGGGTCTGCAGCGGGTGTGGATACAGC